CAAATGTGGGCTCTCGGCTGCTGCTCCAGCCTCCATGTCTACCAGCTGCCACTCTGCCGAACCACGATGGAACGTAAGCCCAAAACAGACCCTCACTTCCATAGGTAGCCTTGGTCTTGGAGTTTCATCGTAGCAATAGAAAAGTAACTACTGCACCCACTGAGCCGTCTCTCTGGCCCCTCTTTGGTTCTTTGAGACCAGGTCTCAAGAAGTTGGCCTGGGACCCATCGTACAGCTGACTGTGACTCTCAACTCCCCAAGCTCCTGCCTCCACTTCCCAGGCACTGGGATTACAGATGTGTACTGTCAAATCCAGCCCATCTCTGAAGACCTCAGGGTGTTTTTTCTATCTAGCAAACAAAACCACCCCCCTGCCTCACTTCCTGAAGCCAATAATTAAATTAATTGGATATGTCAGAAAACCCTGGTTCACAATGGCGTGACCTGGAATTCTTTAGCAAATTCCAAAGGGTCCTTGCATGGATCAGGAAATCTCACAACCACAAAGCTTCCAGCTCAGTTTTAAAACGTAGTGTGTGTGTGTGTGTGTGTGTGTGTGTGTGTGTGTGTGTGTGTGTGTGCAAGCTTGGGCGAGCATGAGAGAGGAGGGTGTGCTTTGGAGAGCAGGTTCTCTACATTTACCCTGAATTGCAAACATCAAACCCAGGTGCCCAGGCTTGTGTGACAAGGGCTCTCCCTCCTTAGTCATCCTGCCAGTCACCAGCTCAGTCTGCGGCCCAGGAAATATAGATAGAGGCCACCACGAAGCCTTCTCTTGATACAGAATACTGTTCCCGGTCATGGTGGCACGCACCTTTAATCCCAGCACTTGGCACTTGGAAGACCAAGACAAGATCTCTTGGGAGTTCGAGGCCAACCTGGTTTACATACTGAGCACAGGACAGCCAGGACTACATAGAGGGACCCTGTCATAAACAAACAAACAAAACCAAGAAGAAGGAGGAGGTCAACCGTGGTGGAAGGAGGCCTGACAGGGAAAGGAAGATAGAAGTGGAAAGTGGGGGTTAGCTCCCTCGGAGCCCTGGAAATTTCTCTTTTTAAAGGACTTTTATCACGTGTGTGAGTGGGTGTGTCTGCAGGTGGATGCGTGCGTGTGAGGGCAGGTGCCGTCGGAAGTCAGAGGCATTGAGTCCCTGGGAACCAAAGTGATAAATGCTGTGTCACCTCATGTGGGTGCTGGGGATTGAACCCGGGTCCTATGCCAGCCATCGCCACAAGTGCTCTAAACCATGGAGCCAATCTCTCCAGGCACCGACATTTTCTCTGCCAGTTTCTGCCCTTCAACACCTGGAACACTGAAGTGTCTGCAAATGACAGGGCCATTCTCTCCTTGGGGAGCTAGGATCCTGGAAGACTCGTCCAAGGCTGCTCTGAGCCAGTGGCCTTGAGGTTCTCATGTCTCAAATTCAGAGAATGAAATTCATTGACCAAAGAGATCAAGTTTCAGAAAGAAGTGGGGAGGAGCAGACGGGAGAACTAGAATGAGCTCCTGTAGAGCAGAAGGGGTCCCAGGGAATAAAGTACCATCTGGCTGTTTCTCTGGGGCCCTTTGAAAGGACACATGCAGCCCAGGCATGGTGACACACACCTCTAATCCCAGCACTCGGGAGGCAGAGACAGGCAGATCTCTGTGAGTTCGAGGCCAGCCTGGTCTATCTAGCGAGTTCCAGGACAGCCTCAAAAACAACCCTGTCTCAAAAAACCAAAAAAAAAAAAAATAGAAAGAAAGAAGTAGTTATGCCAGAAACTGCCATGTAGTGTGGGGGGAGAGGGGATGAGTTGGCCTCCATTTCTGCCCTCCAGCAAGGACAGTTGAAGAATGGCTACCTTGGGGGTCCCAGTCCTATCTGGCACGTTTCTGCTGCTTAGTTCCATCATTTCCCCTTCTGAAGAAGTAACCCTAAAATCTTTAGATACCAGACCTGGGAGCAGAGCACCAAACACTCCAGCCTCTAGCCAGGACAGGACCAAGGACATTTTTGGCTTTTATGGCTGATGATGTGACTGGAGGGGAGCCCTGCCCTGTGTAACCAGCTTCTATCTCCTAAATCCCTTCATCTTTTTCTTGTACATTGACAATTCTATCATTTTTTTACCCCTTGGCTGCTTCCAAATTCCATTTGAAATGGCGCCCCCCCCCAACTCACCATCTCTCCTTTTTCTACCTAAGACTCTGACATAGCCACAGGGATATCAGACACTTTCCCCATCAAGGAAAACATAAAGCTGGGTTATCTTTAGTTCCGTCTCGACATTTTCCCAAATATTTGCATGTTATCCTATCTATCAAACAAAGCCGTCTGGTATACCAGATGGCGGTTTTTCATGAATGCTTTCTTCTTCCTACGTTTCTGATTCTGTTCTGTTTTGGTTTTTGAGGCAAGGTCTCAGCCAGCCCCCAGACTTGCCCTGAGTGCACTGGCCAAGAGTTTCCTTGAACTCTGGTCTTCTGGCTTCCCAAGCGCTGTATTGCTGGCAGACATGCTGTCCTTGTATTTCTGTGTCCCGTTTTGATGGCCTTCTCTCCTGAAAACTACAACCTTCTGTGCTAGCTGGTGGGTTATGCCCAGACCTATCTATAGCTCATGAGAGTTCGCTTAGGTTTAACCCCAGGGTTAGTTCCTCCCATAGGGTCTGATGTTCATGCTGAGTATTTACACAAACGTGAGAGGACTCCGGACACTGGGTGGTCCCCTCTTACGTGTGCCTTTCCAGGTGAGACAAGAAAGGAATCTCCTGGCCAGGAACAAGGTATTTTGCTTGTTTTTTTTTAATTTTTTTAACATTTATTTATATTGGGGGACGGAACATACACATGCCACGCCATGCTGCCATGCCATGCCATACCATACCATGCCATTGTGTAGAGGTCACAGGATAAATTGCAGGTATCACTTCTCTCTTCCACCTTGGGGGTCCCCCGGATTGAACTCTGATCATCAGGTTTGGCAGCAAGTGCCTTTACCTGCTGAGCCATTTTGTCAGCCCAAAGGTATGTTTCTGCAGAGGGCGGCGGGGGGGGTTCAGAAGGAGGCCACCACTTGTTCCAGGGAGTCTCCTCTGACACCTCCATCTACTGGGGTAGAAGGAACTCGGGGCCTCTTATCGTCAGCATCTTTGCAACCAGCCCTCAGAATTTCTAAACCAAATGGGGCAAGGTTGCAATGAAGATGAGCAAGAAACGCCAAAACAAAGTTAGATGTTGGAGGGGTGGCCAGAGAAGAAAGGCCCAGTGCTAGCAACAAATGTCCTGAAAGAGTGTTTTGAAGCAATAAAAGGACGTCCAACGTAACAACCAGCTTAGAATAAACCAACAGGCCGTCAACCAAAACAAAAGGCTAGGGGGTGGGAGGGTGCAGGCTCCTAAAATAATTCACCATTATCCACTCAGAGAGGCAGCACGGATGGTGATGGCTGATGCTGGTACCTGGTGCCAATCCAGATGACTCCTTGGGTGAAAATGGATTATCTCTGCCGTCCCCCATCCATAGTTCTTGGTCCACAGGGAATAAGAGATATTTCCTCTGAGCCAACTGCGAGTACCCACGACTGGAAACAGGGATTCAGGCTGCCCCTACTGGCGTGTCCCACTTTTTATAGTCACAAAACAAAAGCAAGCCATAAATCACTGCATTTGGCAGAGTTTTCTAGGCTTCAGATGCTATCTTCTAGTAGTCTAAGCTTTAGGGTTGGTGGGAGCCTGTGGGCTGCTAAGTTTAATGATGCGTTCCAAAAGCTGCACCTAATAGGCACAAAGATGTGAACTCAGATATGGAGAGCTGGTAAACAGCTCTTAAAGGGAACTAAAGATAGCCCGGTGTCGGTCTGACTCACAACATGCTGCGTGCTGTCTCTTGGAAATCCGAAGTTGTATTTCAGCCGTCAGCTTCTTCGGGGAACATCAGTTCATACTGCTTCCCCAGTACAGCAATAAAACACAGTACTTCTTCTACAACGGAAAGTCTTGCCCTACAAGAGGCACCCCCACACCCCTGGGTCCTCACAGGTCCTACCTCCTACTCAGTCCTTGGTACGGCAAATATTTATCCAGCGCCTGTATACGCCAGGCAGGGCAACAAAGGCTAGGGATCCTGCAAGGAACCACACCTGCGGCTGTCTGTCATCTGATGCTGCCTCATCCCTCTGAGGCCTCGGTACTTCCCGATTATCTGAGCGCACCCTCATTTGCATGTGGCTACGAAGAGCCCAGCCCTACTCTAGATCGGTTTGCCTCCTCAAATGGAGAGCAAAGTCCTGTTTACAGGGAGAGCTCTCTAACAGAGAGGGACTGGGGTAGAGCACTTGCCTAGCTCACACGAGACCCTGCATGGATCTCTAGCACTGCAAAAAAAAAAAAAAAAAAAAAAAACCCGATACCTAGTAAATGCCCTTTCAGATCGAATGCAAACATGAAGCTGTTAGATTCTGGCAAGTAGCTCTACTGAAGGCACAGGCAAGGAGCTGTAGATTCAAGAAATCCGTTGGCCGCTGACAGGTATACAAGATGGCTCCAAATCTGTGGTTCCCAACCTGTGGGTCGGGACCCCTTTGTGGTTGCATATGACATATTAACATTATGATTTGTAACAGTGGCGATGTTACAGTTATGAAGTAGCAATGAAATAATTGTATGTGGGGGGTGTCACCACAACATAAGGAGCTGTATTAAAGGTTCACAGCATTAGGAAGGTTGAGAACCGCTGCTCTAAGTGAATCAATGAGGAGAGAGGGTTGGGGGGGGTCCCCAAGCCTCCCTGAGGCAGTGATGGTCCCTGGCAAAGGGAGTGATTCTCTTCACTGGAACTTACGATCCTGTAAACAATCTCTCAACTAAGACCCCGTAAGCAATCCTAATGAAACTCATCAGGTCATCAAAATCCACTAATTAAAAGCAGCCGAGGGACTAGGTAGTGAAAAGTTTATGCACCCTCATAAGTCTCTCCACTGATGCAATCCAAATCAGACCAAATCAAACCAAATTAGAAAAAGCCCATGTTTAATGGACACAACACTCCCAGATGGCCTTCCAGTCCCCCCAGAGAGGAGACGGGAAAGGGGGACCGGAAAACCACATGTCTGTTTTCTGGAGGGCAGTTTAAATACCCTATGGGAGTGGTCTTGAGCATCTGGGGGGGCATCATTTGTCGAGCTTTCTGAGCCTCAGCAGGGTTTGAAGGGGGATGGGGGAGGGGGTTTGGGTGGACCCTCTACCTTAACATCCCAGACTCTTTGGGTATCTGGATGCCGGGGGCTGGGGCAAAGGTTTTACCATAGCATCCCAGACTCTTTGGGTATATGCACACTGGTCGTGTCTGGTTTCTTCCTGCTGACAAGGGAAGGTGTGGGGGAGCGGGAGAGTCCGGAGTTGGTGGGTTCACGCTCAGTGGAAGGCGTGGGTGAAGAAGCATCTGGTTAGCTGCCATCCTGGAAACCTCAGGCACCTGTTCCTTGAGGTGGACAAGACAGGTTGCTAGGAGAAAAAAAAATAGATTGTTGTCATCGGCCCTAATTGTACTGACGAAGGTGAATGTGTCAGGAAAAAGAGCAAATGGGCCCTTTATTGTGGCATCTTGGAAAACCAGAGGGTGGGGGTCCCAGCTGCTGGACAGACCAAGTGTCCATTTAAGCCTGGAGAGGAGGTACCAGGTACCAGCATGGATGTCCTAGGAGCTCGGCAGCCGAAGGGGTGGCTTGGATCACAGCGTAGGGTCCTGTCCACCAGGGCTGGAGAGACTTAGGAGCAAGCTGTTTGAGGAGAACTCTGTCCCCTGGGGAGAGCAGGGCAGGCTCAGGGGCAGTTTGGCCCATTGGTGTAGAGGCAGGGAGATAACCATCAGCATGTGAGCAGAGAAGGGACCTCAGAAGGAAGAGGCAGGGAAGGTGCCCAGCCAATGGAGGAGTCTGGGCTGGGAGCTGGTGATTAAGGAGGAAGGGCCTTCCATAAAGGAGCTCAAAAGGGCTTAGGCCTGTGGGAGAACGTGGGGTGACCCGGAGGCAGGTAAGGGCAGTGGGGACAAGGGATGGCCAAGATAACGTGGTCCAGTGGAGAGCTTGATTAGCTGTTGTTTGATGAGTCCATTAGCCGTCTCTACCTTTCCCGAGGATTGTGGATGGTAGATGTGGAGCTTCCAGGAAAAGTTGAGAGCTTCTGAAACAAACTCTATGACCCTGAAAGTGAAGGCTGGCTCATTGTCCGTTGGAAAGATGATGTGGTCCAGGAGTACCTGGGCCTCCACATCTGCTGTCTCCCTGGAGGTGGGAGCAAGTGTCATCAAGGGCCAGGAGGTAACGGAGTTCTTTATGAGTGGGCATGTGAGTGAAATCCACCTGCCAATGTGAGGTCTGGTGGTCTGAAATGATAGACAGTGCTTGGTCCTGAGGATGAGGCTGTTGTTTAAGTAGAAATCCACCTGCCAATGTGAGGTCTGGTGGTCTGAAATGATAGACAGTGCTTGGTCCTGAGGATGAGGCTGTTGTTTAAGTAGAAATCCACCTGCCAATGTGAGGTCTGGAGGTCTGAAATGATAGACAGTGCTTGGTCCTGAGGATGAGGCTGTTGTTTAAGTAGAAATCCACCTGCCGATGTGAGGTCTGGAGGTCTGAAATGATAGGCAGTGCTTGGTCCTGAGGATGAGGCTGTTGTTTAAGTAGAAATCCACCTGCCAATGTGAGGTCTGGAGGTCTGAAATGATAGACAGTGCTTGGTCCTGAGGATGAGGCTGTTGTTTAAGTAGAAATCCACCTGCCAATGTGAGGTCTGGAGGTCTGAAATGATAGACAGTGCTTGGTCCTGAGGATGAGGCTGTTGTTTAAGTAGAAATCCACCTGCCAATGTGAGGTCTGGAGGTCTGAAATGATAGACAGTGCTTGGTCCTGAGGATGAGGCTGTTGTTTAAGTAGAGCCATCCATCCTTTGTTTGAATGCCCCCTCTTTTCAAGAGTTCATCCCTCCCCTCTGGTTGATAACAGGGCTGACAGGAGGGTGTCAAAAACAAAATAAGTGGCGGTGGGTTTCAGAAATAGGAAACTGAGGTCTGGAAGGGAAGGAGGAGGGGTCCCAGTTCCCAGATGGGCAGGAATCTGAAGGCGCCATGAGCCTAGCGGACAAGACCTGTGCTGTGAGACTCTGGCTGAGGCGGAAGAGAAGGAGCGCAGTGTCCAGAAACTGCATATGAGAGTTCTGTTCACTTGTCCCCACGTGGGGAAATATTTCAGGATCACCGAGGATGGCAAGTTTAAAAGATCGCCCTGGTGGTCATCTGTCCCATGGTCAAGGTATATTGAGGCTAGGGCTTAGTGCAGAGAACTCAGGTGTTCAGGCCATACGGTGTCAGACAGCCCCAATTTAAACAGATTTTGAAAAAAGGCAGCCCAAGGGCCCATTTCACAAGTCTGTGCCAGAACCCAGAGCCTAACGCAATGGGTCCCCTGTGGTAGGCCTTGGGTCAAAAACAGAGGGGGTGTGGGAGAATCCTTGAACAGAACGTCTTCTGAAGAAGAGGTCCCACTGGGCAAGGCAGGACCTTGTCCCACTAACAGGTCGGGGGCCTGGCATGGCGTGTTTGGCAGGAGACCCCAAAATCACAGGAGGGCCTGGGCCTGTAAGGCAATGACTGGGTAAGGACAACTTACCCCGTCGAAAGCCCGTCTGAGCCTGGCGGAGAGCAGGTGTGGGGAAGAAGGGTGTTTTCCCACCACGTGACCCTGGGCCAGTGGGGAAAAAACAGCCCCCTTGGTGGAACCTCCAGATGAAAAGTTTCTACACCCCAATAAGCCTCTCCCCCATGCAACAATCCCAATCAGACCAAATCAAACCGAATTAGAAAAAGCCCACGTAGCTGGGCATTGGTGGCACACGCCTTTAATCCCAGCACTCGGGAGGCAGAGGCAGGCAGATCTCTGTAAGTTCGACACCAGCCTGGACTACCAAGCGAGTTCCAGGACAGCCTCCAACGCCACAGAGAAACCCTGTCTCGAAAAACCAAAAAAAAGAAAAAAGGAAAAAAGAAAAAGCCCACGTTTAATGGACACAGCGTTGCTGGATGGCCATCCAGCCCCCCAGAGAGGAGATGGGAAAGGGAGACCAGAAAAACCACCAGTCTGGTTTCCGAGGGGCAGTTTAAATACCCTGTGGGAGTGGTCTTGAACATCCCTGGGGGAGGGGCTATCATTTGGCGGGCTTTCTGAGATGCAGCAGGGTTTGGAGGGAGATGGGGGAGGGGGCTTGGGTGGCACTTCCACCAGAACGGTAGAAAGAGGTGAGGCCTGGGATGGGAGGGAGCAAGAGAGAGTAACAGGTTGAGTTGGATAAAAATGTTCTGTATGTGTGTGAAAATTTCAGAATGAATCTCACTGCATGCATCATTAACATACGCTAATAAAAATTAATTAGGGCCGGGAGAAGGCAGATAAGCACCTCCACCTGAGGACTGGAGATTTTAGGCTTCAGAACACTGGCAAGGAAGACAGGAGACCCCTGGGGCAGGCTGGTCAGCTAAAGGAGGGATTCCAGAGAGACCCTGTCTAAATAAATACAGTGGGGAGAAATCGTGACATGTCAACGTGGCATGTCAACATCACCTGCCCATGTAGGACTGCCCACATGTGAACGCAAACACACAGATACACACACTCAAAAACTTAAAAAAAAAGAGAGAGAGAGAGAGAGAGGAGGAGGAGGAGGAGGAGGAGGAGGAGGAGGAGGAGGAGGAGGAGAAGGAGAAGGAGAAGGAGAAGGAGAAGGAGAAGGAGAAGGAGAAGGAGAAGGAGAAGGAGAAGAAGAAGAAGAAGAAGAAGAAGAAGAAGAAGAAGAAGAAGAAGAAGAAGAAGAAGAAGAAGAAGAAGAAGAAGAAGAAGAAGAAGAAGAAGAAGAAGAAGAAGAAGAAGAAGAAGAAGAAGAAAGAACGAGTCAACAAACCAGGCTTGGTGGAGCAAGCCTTTAATCCCACCATTGAGCAGTGGAGGCAGGAGAATTAAGAAATCCAAGGTCATCCTTAGTTGCACACTGAGTTCCAGGGCAGTCGTGCTACCTGCGACCCCGTTTCAAAACAAAACAAAAGAACGATTCAAGCAATGCAGACTGGCCTAGGTCGGATAGCTATGTCACCACGGAGCCTTGTAATCTAGGGACAACAGAATGCCAAGTCCCTCCTAGTTGCTGAAGGTAGGATGCAGGAGGAAACTGCTTCCCAGACACCGAACAAGCACGCAAGCACGCACAACAAGATAAGCCGAGGGAGGCTGGAGCCAGGGAGAGCCAGGCAGGGTCACCGCCCCGCGAGGTGTGGCCGCTGCTGCCAGCCAAAGTCTCCAGCTCCCAGGTTCCTCATGGTTGCTAACTACGCCCTACCTGGAGCCCAACTCACTGTCTCCTACGCCCTCTGAACCCCAGGAAAACCTAGGTGGCCTGGGAGATCCGTTCGTGCGTTTGGTGTGGGACTCCTAGCGTCAGCGGGCCGGAGACGGAGAAATTCGGGCGCGGGGAGCGACGCCTGGCAGGAGGCTGCCCCGCCCCCCTCCGCCTGATTTCGTTGAGGAGGGAGCCGCCCCGTTCCCGCCCCTAACTGGCCCGGCAGCAGGGAGCTGCTAGGAGGTGGAGATCGAGCCGACCTGCAGATATGGAGGCAGCCAGCACCTGGGCACTGCTGCTGGCGCTGCTGCTGCTGCTGCTGCTGGCGCTGGCACTGCCCAGGACCCCGGACCCAGGCCATCTGCCCCCGGGGCCCGCCCCGCTGCCGCTGCTGGGGAACCTCCTGCAGCTGCGTCCAGGGGCGCTGTACTCCGGGCTCTTGCGGGTGAGGGGACACCCTAACCGTGGGGGGAGGGGAGGGGGAAATCTCTTAAGTGTCTGGGCTCTGCAGGAGTCTTGGGCCGGGGTCCTCGGGGCAAAGGGGTTATGAATGTCTTGTGGGGGGCGCGAACAGGTTGACCTGGGCTGAGCAAGGGAGGGTGTCCAGGTTGGTAAAGGTAGATAGAGCTCACTCAGTTCTGGAGGCGGGACCCAAGGGAAAGGAATCCCAGGAGAGGCAGGGGCAGGTCGTCCCGGGCTAAGAAAGGGAGGGAATGCCCTGGGAAGGGGACTAGAGCTGAGAGAGACACAACTCACAGAGCTCTACAAAGAAATAAGAGCAGGACCCCGAGGGGCCGGGGTCCCAGGTCGTAGGGACCCACGGAAATGCTGGGAAGGTAGTGAGCTGGGACCGGAACTGCAAAGCAGGCACTCTGAGGCGACAATGGTGGGGGGCAAGCTTGTCCCCAGTGCCGCTGTTGGGAGGAAAGCATCTGGAAGCCTGCGGGGGCTGGAGGGGGCTGAGCAGAGAGCATCCTGGGCGAAAGGAATCTGCCTCAGAGACTCCCGGAGTGGGAGGATGGGTGTCGCCGAGCTAGGAGGGAGCTCGGAGTTCCGCCGAGCTCGGGGTGGGAGCATGGGAGGCAGCCCCAACCTGCCTGGGGTAATGGGGGAATGAAGCATTCCATTCAAAAATACTCTGAGGGACTTTTAAGGACAGAAAAATCGGGTGGGCGGCTAAGGGAGAGATGGGACACATGTTCCACTAAAACCGCCGTGGGGTTTAAGGGGTTAGCAGGGGTTGAAACGGGTGGCTGGATATGGGGGTGGGGGGTTTGGGAGCAGAGGGAAGGAGGACTATGGGAGACCAAAGCTGGTTGTGGAGGTCCCAAGATGAGAAGTTAGAACCTAGAAGTGAGAGGGAAGGCAAGAGGGGGTGTTTAAGAAGCACCCACTCTATACTCCCGTGCAAAAAAAAAAAAAAAAAAAAAAAAAAAAGAACAGCTTCCCAAAGGGATGCTTTTGCTTGGGATGGGGAGGAGACCAGTTACAGGTATAGGGGGCAAAAGCCGGATCACATGACTTGCCCGAGGACAGGATTTGGAATGAATGCAGCCTGGCTGGCCCCTCCTGGGACCAGTCACCACCACCCTCTCCTCCCTTTCTGCCCCCAGCTAAGCAAGAAGTATGGGCCTGTGTTCACGGTACACCTGGGCCCCTGGCGCCGCGTGGTGGTCCTGGTTGGACATGACGCTGTGAGAGAGGCCTTGGGCGGTCAGGCTGAGGAATTCGGTGGGCGGGGAACGCTGGCAACGCTGGACAAGACTTTTGATGGTCATGGTGAGTAGTGAGTCGTGAGGGCGAATGGGGGCTGCGGGTGACTCAGTGCCTCTCCTACCTTCTCCACGAAATGGGCTAATTGCGATTGTCACTTAGAGTTGTGATAAGGATCAAGTGGGAAATGGGCTGCTGACAAGTGAGTGTTTAGAATTACTACTCTGGGATCTGTTAATTGATAGGCAGGCTAACCTGGGCTGCACAGTGAGTTCAAGGCCAGCTTGAGCTACATAGTACAAGACAATTTGACCTTGTCTTGAAAAAAACAGGACTAAGTTCAGTGGTAGGACATGCACAGAACCCATCAGCGATGGTTGCAGGTCTTATTCAGTGAAGAATGCTTGCCTAGAATGCCCCAGTGAGGGGCTGGGGGTGTGGCTCAATGGTAGAGCCCCTACCTAGAATCCCCCAGTAAGGGGCTAGGGTGTGGCTCAGTGGTACAGTCCCTGCCTAGAATCCCCCAGAGAGGGGCTGGAGTGTGGCTCAGTGGTACAGTCCCTGCCTAGAATTCCCCAGTGAGAGGCTGGGGGCGTGGCTCAGTGGTACAGTCCCTGCCTAGAATCCCCCAGTGAGGGGCTGGGGGCGTGGCTCAGTGGTACAGTCCCTGCCTAGAATCCCCCAGTGAGGGGCTGACAGAGGGATTCAGCAATGTTTGTCTAGAATTCACCAATGAAGGGCTTTGCAGGGAGGGGGGATATGTCCTCCTCCTAGTTTGTATAAAGCCACAAATTCCATGCCTGAGTCAAGAGAGAGAGAAGGGGGGGACCAAAAGCACAGAAATAATTCATGCTAAGACAGAAAGCATGTGTAGCATGTGCGAAGCCCTGAGTTCAGTCTCCAGCAGCACAGAAAAGCCTGGCAGGATGGTGGTGACTAAGATAGCCCTGCCTACTTCCCCTAGAGCACCCAGACAGACCTGTCATCAGACAGTGACCACATGGAGGAATTGGCCAGGATGGGAGGGACAAGCTTGCATGGGGGAGACCTGGGATTCTAGGAATCCATAGGCGGGCCCTGACCCAGCCTGTGTGCTGAGGGACACCCAAGAAGAGAAGATGCCCAAGCTGAAAAGGGAGGGAGTTGTGTCCCAGGCAGGACATGCGTGGAGGAGGCAGAGGGACACATTCCTTTAGCCCACAGGCTGCCGGTGCCTGGCCCTGTCCTAGGTACTGAGGACACAAGGGTGACCAAGGCACATGCAGTGTCTTCTCTCTGTGAGAGACCCGCGGTAAAGACAACACAGTGAGGGCATGGAATTTCTAAAGTGAGGAGTACAGCTTTGAGGGGCGGGGGACGCTGAACTGGAGTGGGGCGGGGCTGGGGGCGGGGCTGGGGCGCTGAACTGGAGTGGGGCGGGGCTGGGGGGGGCGCTGAACTGGAGTGGGGCGGGGCTGGGGGCGGGGCTGGGGGCGCTGAACTGGAGTGGGGCGGGGCTGGGGCACTGAACTGGAGTGGGGCGGGGCTGGGGGGCGGGGCTGTGGCGCTGAACTGGAGTGGGGCGGGGCTGGGGCGCCGAACTGGATGGGGCGGGGCTGGGGGGCGTTAAACTAGAGTGAGGCTTCTCAGGGGAGGCAACATCCAGGCTGAAACACAAAGGATGCGTGGAATTCATCAAGGATGGTGAGGCGCTGCTCCAGCCTTTAATCCAAGTACTCAACAGGCCGATTCAGGAGGATTGCCAGGAGTTCAGGCCAGCCTGGGCTACATAGCAAGACCCTCTCAGAAAAAAAAAATCATAAACAGTTAAAAATAACAGGATGGGAGCCGGGGAGAAGGGCCCAGCAGTTAAGAATACTTGCTGCTCCTTCGTCGTTGTCATTTTGCTTTTTGTTTTCTGAGACAAAGTTTCTCTATATAACAGTCTTGGTTGTCCTGAACTTCGATCTGTAGACCAGGCTGGCCGCAAACATCACAGAGATCCGCCTGCCTCTGCCTCCCGAGTGCCGGGATTAAAGGCGTGCCCCACCAACGCCCAGCACACCTGCTGTTCTTACAGAGTTTTGTTCCCATACCCAGATTGGGCAGCCGGCAACAGCCTATGTTCCAATTTCGGAGGTTCTGATGTCCTCTTATGGCCTTTCCAGGCACTGACACACACATGAACATACAAAAACATACACAGAAATAAAAAATAAAGTTAGGTAAAAAAAATTTTTGAGACAGGGATTCACTTGGCTCTACAGTGAGTAGCTGGGTGTGTGGCTGAGTAGTAGAGCCCCTGACTAGAATCCCCCAGTGAGGGGCTGGGTGGGACATGACTTATTGGTAGTGAGCTCAACATTTACAATGCCCTAGGTTCATGGCCAACAACTCCTAAAACGATGAAGGGGTGTGAGCATGTCACAGACAGAGGAAACAGCAAGGGCCCAGGTTGGGGCAGGGGTCATGATGCCTTTGAGGAAATGAGGGAAGTTGTAGTGGATGATTAATAAGGCTGAAAGTCAGCGTGACTCTGGTCACCTTGCAGGCCTGTGAGTCATACCAGAGCAGCTGGGCTTCTGGTTTTCTGAGGTCTGTGCATTTTCAACAGGGAAAGACTGCAAAGTGAGGAGAATTGAAGGATGGAAGCCTGGGGAAGAGATGAGCTGGACCAGGGCAAGGCCTAAGGATGGGGGATGAGCTGGACCAGGGCAAGGCCTAAGGATGGGGATGAGCTGGACCAGGGCAAGGCCTAAGGATGGGGAGCTGGACCAGGGCAAGGCCTAAGGATGGGGATGAGCTGGACCAGGGCAAGGCCTAAGGATGGGGAGCTGGACCAGGGCAAGGCCTAAGGATGGGGATGAGCTGGACCAGGGCAAGGCCTAAGGATGGGGGATGAGCTGGACCAGGGCAAGGCCTAAGGATGGGGGAGAGATGAGCTGGACCAGGGCAAGGCCTAAGGATGGGGAGCTGGAGCAGGGCAAGGCCTAAGGATGGGGAGCTGGACCAGGGCAAGGCCTAAGGATGGGGAAGAGATGAGCTGGACCACGGCAAGGCCTAAGGATGGGGGAAGGATGAGCTAGACCAGGGCAAGGCCTAAGGATGGGGATGAGCTGGACCAGGGCAAGGCCTAAGGATGGGGATGAGCTGGACCAGGGCAAGGCCTAAGGATGGGGATGAGCTAGACCAGGGCAAGGCCTAAGGATGGGGGATGAGCTGGACCAGGGCAAGGCCTAAGGATGGGGGATGAGCTGGACCAGGGCAAGGCCTAAGGATGGGGAGCTGGACCAGGGCAAGGCCTAAGGATGGGGGATGAGCTGGACCAGGGCAAGGCCTAAGGATGGGGATGAGCTGGACCAGGGCAAGGCCTAAGGATGGGGAGCTGGACCAGGGCAAGGCCTAAGGATGGGGATGAGCTGGACCAGGGCAAGGCCTAAGGATGGGGGATGAGCTGGACCAGGGCAAGGCCTAAGGATGGGGGAGAGATGAGCTGGACCAGGGCAAGGCCTAAGGATGGGGAGCTGGACCAGGGCAAGGCCTAAGGATGGGGAAGAGATGAGCTGGACCACGGCAAGGCCTAAGGATGGGGGAAGGATGAGCTAGACCAGGGCAAGGCCTAAGGATGGGGAGCTGGACCAGGGCAAGGCCTAAGGATGGGGATGAGCTGGACCAGGGCAAGGCCTAAGGATGGGGATGAGCTGGACCAGGGCAAGGCCTAAGGATGGGGGAAGGATGAGCTGGACCAGGGCAAGGCCTAAGGATGGGGAAGAGATGAGCTGGACCAGGGCAAGGCCTAAGGATGGGGGAAGGATGAGCTAGACCAGGGCAAGGCCTAAGGATGGGGATGAGCTGGACCAGGGCAAGGCCTAAGGATGGGGATGAGCTGGACCAGGGCAAGGCCTAAGGATGGGGATGAGCTGGACCAGGGCAAGGCCTAAGGATGGGGGAAGGATGAGCTGGACCAGGGCAAGGCCTAAGGATGGGGAGCTGGTATTTGAGGGGCCCAGGGCTCTGTCAGCGGGTGGATGGTGGGGCTGGGGTGGGGAGAGGAAAGGTCTAAAGCCAGTTTCAGACATGAGAGGGAGCCAAGGACAGCTCCCAGCTGCCACTGCAAGGCAGCCTCCAGCAAGCACCACAGCGCTGAGCTCAGAAGGGGAGATGTGTGCAGAGCAAGTGTCCTGGGTAAGGGAGGAGACTGTGATTTCAACCATCTTGCTTTCTGCTCTGTCCTCACCCTGGCCTCATCTGCCGTCCGTGCTGGGCTGGAAGGATGAAAAGGTGATGAGGGAGAGGTTGGTACAGACTCAGAACAGGGCCCTGCGGAGCGGCTCACCCGGAGGGAGGAACCAGTCCGCTTCTTGAATCTAGCCTTCTGTGCAGGGGTTTTCTTTGCCAACGGGGAGCGGTGGAAACAGCTGAGGAAGTTCACCCTGCTCGCTCTGCGGGACCTGGGCATGGGCAAGCGCGAAGGCCAGGAGCTGATCCAAGCAGAGGTGCAGAATCTGGTGGAGGCCTTCCAGAAGACAGCAGGTCAGCAGGGAGGGGCCAACAATCACTTCCAGCCAAGGGGAAGAGGAGCCACCCCCATTGTTCCCCGGGTGGGGGTGAATCTGGGGGGGGCTTTGCTCACCCCCACTGAGCCCTTCACACCTGGGGTACCACAACAGCACTCTCTGTCCCTGGGACATTGGCACCCTTGAGCAGCCCCTCCCTCCCTCCCTCCCTCCCTTCCTCCCTTGTCTTGTTTTAAGAGGGAGGAATTTCACTGGTTGGGCCAGGCTGGCCTGGATCTGATGATTCATTCTTCTACCTCAGCCTGCAGGTGCTGGGATTACAGGTGCGAGCTACCATACCTGGCTCCCTTTGTTGGTGTGTGTGTGTGTCTGTGTGTGTGTGTTAAATACTCTTTATTTGCTATATATATAAGCCACAGTAAGTGACCCTCAGCAGTGAAAGGCAGTGCCCTCAGCCTAGGGAATTCTAATTAAACCAGCACTGTCAAGAGTGGACAGACGCTTCCTGACATTTAACTGCTGCCTGTCACAGGCCAGTGAATGCAGCCTGAAACACAGGCAAGTCTTCTCACGTCTGAGACGGTGATAGTGTGTATGTGTGTGTGTGTGTGTGTGTGTGTGTGTCTGTCTGTCTGTCTGTCTGTGTGCATCTGTGTGTCTGTGTGTGTGTCCCATGTTTAGAGACATCCGTGTGTCCACTTAAATAATCAAAGTGCAAAACCATTCGCAGGTTTTCGGTGACACACCCGTCTTTGTGGAAAGTAGAATTTTGCTAATTAAGCCCAATCTCATCTTGAGGAAGGGAGAGCAGTGATGGTCTTTATGCAACTGGAATTGTTACTCTAAAAAAAAAAAACAGATGATGTCCACTTCACTACATACAAGTCAGTGTTACATAAATCGGGACTGCCCAAGCAAAAAAACATTGTTAGCCACTCATGATCTGAATGTTGGTGTCTGAGTTAAATCATGGGACATAGTAAAAGCCAAGAGACATTTGTTACGTAATAAGTAAGGCAGTGGTGTTACTCATTACTGACCCTTCTAAGGTAAACTATTGGGCTGGAGAGATGGCTGAGGTTAAGAGCACTGACTGCAAGCCGGGCGGTGGTGGCGCACGTCTTTAATCCCAGCACTCGGGAGACAGAGGCAGGCGGATCTCTGTGAGTTCAAGGCCAGGCTGGACCGCCAGCCTCCAAAACAATACAGAGAAACCCTGTCTCGTAAAAACCAAAAAAAGAAAAAAGAAAAAAAGAGAAAAAAGAGCACTGGCTGCTCATCCAGAGGACCTGAATTCAATTCCCAGCAACCACATGGTGGCTCACAACCATCTAAATGTCAGAACACTGTATACATCATAAACGAATAAATCTTAAAAAAAGAAAGATAAACCATTATGGCATTATGTTTCTTCCTTCTGAATTCAAGCGAAGATGGGTTTTGTTAGAGGGATGTACTTTTTATTCTCCAAATGCTCCCTCAGGTATCCCCTCCCCGGGTGATGCCTTTGCTTGTGTTGGTATCTGTGTAAGAGAATCCAGTCGCCTGACCTGTCCTCCATCCAAACAGGACGTGGAGATTTGGTCCAGTGTTAGCTTGCCTCCCTCTCCCACAGTGTCACCGGGCACACTTCTGAACAAAAATCTTCTTACCTTTCTCAGCATCAAGTATTCTTAGTTTCCTGCTCTTTTGTGTTGTTTTGTTTTGTTTTTTAAGTCATGGTCTCACTCTGTAGCCCTGGATATCCTTGAACTCCCGACAATCGTCCTGCCTCGAATTTTCAGGGGCGGCCACCACACCTAGCTCCAACTCCCTTCCTGCCTCATTTCTTCTAATTCAGTCTCTCCCTCTCTTCCCCTGCCGTCCATGCCTCCCAGGACGTCCATTCGACCCTTCCATGCTGCTGGCCCAGGCCACCTCCAATGTCGTCTGTTCCCTCATCTTTGGCATCCGTTTGCCCTACGAAGATAAAGAGTTCCAGGCCGTGATCCAGGCAGCAAGTGGTACCTTGTTGGGGATCAGCTCCCCGTGGGGCCAGGTAAGTGGTGGAAGCCTCCCCCAGCCTCGGTGCCTCCTACGGAGCACACTGAGAACGAGCCGTCTTCCCGCACCACAGGCCTACGAGATGTTTTCCTGGCTGCTGCAGCCCTTGCCTGGCCCACACAGGCAGCTCCAGCGACACCTGGGCACCCTGGCCGCCTTCGTTGTGCAACAGGTGCAGCGGCACCAGGGAAGTGTCCAGACTTCCGGTCCTGCGCGTGACGTCGTCGACGCCTTCCTGCTGAAGATGGCACAGGTGTGGACACTTGGGAGAGGGAAGGGTCCCTCGTGAGTATGGCTACTGGCCTGGCTCATAGGCTATTAGCATCTGCTGAGTCCTCGTCCCTGGGCTGAGCTGGGGATGGGACCGGGAATGGCTGACTTTGCTAGGGGGAAGACGCCATCCCTTCTTGGGTCCAACCTGCTTTCCAGAGCCTTCTTCAGGAAATCCTGAGGATTTCCATTGGTCTCTTCCCTTTTTATTTTTGGTGAGATATGGTCTTACTCTGTAGCCCAGGCTTGCCCAGAACTTACTCTGTAGCCCAGGCAGACCCAGATCTTACTTTGTAGCCCAGGCTGGCCCAGAACTCACTCTGTAGCCCAGGGTGGCCTGGAACTTACAGAGACCCCCCCCCTGATTCTTCCTCCCAAGGGCCAACCTACCAGGCCTCACTTCAGGTCTCTTCTCTACCCACGTGTCTCTGTGTGGGAGATGTAACTCTGTAGCTGGAAATTTCTATCCCACCCGAAAGTTCTTGAATAACCAACCACTCTGAGACTTAGTATTAATTGTAATTGTTTGGCCAGAGGCTCAGCATATTACTAACTGGCTCTCACAATTAAATTAATCCGTTTCTACTAATCTGTATACCGCCACGTGACTGTCTTACCAGCGATGTTCTGGAATCTTACTGCTCCGGTGCCTACATGGCATCTCCCAGACTCCCGCCATCTTTCCCCTGTATCTCTGCTTGGATTTCCCCCTGACTCTATTCTGCCTGGCTATTGGCCAGATGAGCTTATTTATTTATTTATTTATTTATTTATTTATTTATTTATTTTGGTTTTTATGAGACAGGGTTTCTCTGTATTGTTTTGGAGGCTATCGGTCCAGCCCGGCCTCGAAGTCACAGAGATCCGCCTGCCTCTGCCTCCCGAGTGCTGGGATTAAAGGCGTGCGCCACCACCGCCCGGCGATGAGCTTCTTTATTAACCGGTGCTAATAAGACATATTCACAGAGGACAGAGGGGCATCCCACATCATAAGCCTGTTCTACCAAGCGTGCAGGGAGCCCTGGCTCCTCCCCTAGTACCACATGAACTGAGAATCGCAACTCACACCTGTCCTCCCAGCTCCCGGGAGGCAGAGGCAGAAGGTCATCCTCGGCTATACAGCAAGTTTGAGGTCAGCCTGGGCTACAAGTGACCCCGTTTCAAAACAGGGGAAATGGACCATGGCATGTCTCAGTGGGTAAACGTGTCTGACACCAAGCCTGACTCCCTGTGTTTGAGCCCCTGGGACCCACGCAATGGAAAGACAGAGCCAACCCCTGCAAGCTGTCCTCTGGCGTCCGCATGCATGACACACCACACGTGAGCCCCCACATGAAGTAAAAACAGGAAAGATTTTTTTTTTAAGTCTCAAATCTCTATCCCAGTCAGATAACAGTTCCTCGTTTCTTTTATTGCTCAGGAGAAACAAGACCTGGGCACAGAGTTCACAGAGAAGAACTTGCTGATGACGGTCACCTACCTGCTGTTTGCTGGGACGATGACCATTGGTGCCACCATCCGCTATGCCCTCCTGCTCCTGATGAGATACCCTCAAGTGCAACGTAAGAAACCCCTCCCGACAGCCAGGCCCCAGGCACCCCAGCGATGGTTCCAGAGATGAGAACGAGCACAGGGTTTGGGGTTCCCCAAGTGGCGAGGGAGCTTCCCATCACAGCCCGAGGTGTGGCGAGACTCGGCATGTCTGCGACGCTCTGTCACCTCTATCACGTGACTTGACCCCAGTTATGGGGAGGCACAGACGGACCTTGAGCAGGGAAGACATAATTAAATTTACGTTTATTGATTTATTTCCTTTTGAGATAGGGTCTTACCCTGTAGCACAAACCGGCCTGCTAATCACTGTATAGCGTCCTGGCTCAGCTGAACTTATGGGTGTGAATGACCACGCTCCCGCTTAAATCTGCATTTGAGAAAATCATCCAGCTGCCGAGACGGGATGAGCTGTAGGAGACTGTAGCTCAGTGACAGAGCCCTTGCCTAGAGTCTCAGGGGAGAGGCTTGGCTTCCAATCCACTGGCGGGGTGGGGGCGTGGCTCGGGTGGGGGCGTGGCTCGGGTGAGGGCGTGGCTGGGGTAGAGCGAATGCCTAGCATCCCTGAGCCTAGCATGGGTAGCATTCCCAGCGCCCCCCCCACACACACACAGTTGGAGCCATCATCCAGGTGTGGCTGACCTGAACCTTCAGCAGTAAGAAAGGGCAGGTGGCTAACAGGCCAGGCGGGGAATGAACCACCCACCCATGCCCACGCCTGGAAGAACTCTACCTAAATGCCTGAAGGCTAGCGAAATAGCCTGACCCACAGGCAGCATTCAGAGGGTTAGTGCCATGACTGGATTCAGCTGTGACATTTAGAGAATGACTTGGGTCTCTGGGCCTCAGTTTCCTCATCTAGGAAATGGAGATGAATAAGGATGCCCACCATGCCGGGTGTGGTGGCGCACGCCTTTAATTCCAGCACTCGGGAGGCAGAGGCAGGTGGATCTCTGTGAGTTCAAGGCCAGCCTGGTCTACAGAGTGAGTTCCAGGACAGCCAGGGCAACATAGAGAGACCTTGTCTCAAAAAAACCGAAACGGTGACCACCATTTTTGGTTACCGGAGTTAAGATAAAATTGGTACATATAGGATGAACGAGACCGCAGACCCAGCGGCTCCTCGCCTCCTGCCAGCCTCGCCCTGAACCACGGCTACACAGGCTGAGGCTCCCAGGAGGAGGACCGCAGGGTCCGTCCCACCCTTGACCTGCAACCCTCCTCTTGCATGCAGGGCGTGTTCGGGAGGAGCTGATCCAGGAGCTGGGTCCCGGCAGGGCTCCGAGTCTGAGCGATCGTGCTCGCCTCCCTTACACGGATGCAGTTCTCCACGAGGCGCAGCGGCTCCTGGCGCTGGTGCCCATGGGAATGCCCCACACCCTCACGAGGACCACTTGCTTCCGCGGATACACTCTGCCCCAGGTGGGTGTGTGGCAAGCCAGCGCAGTTATCTCTGCCCCCATTTGTCTGTGTCTGTCTGGGTCCTCCCCGCAACCACCCCTTTCTCTCGGGCCGCCATTGAAAACACTTCAGACATACAGCCACCAGGGGGCGATATACCCTCAGTCCTCAGATAACATTGGCAGCGGCTCCTTCTACAATCAAATCCTTATGGTTTTAGCCCTGCTGTTTTCTTAGCTGGAACTTGAACAAATTGAGCCTCAATATACACCCCTGTTATAAATTGGGAATAACGATAATATCTAATATGGACTTGAAAGATAATGCTTGCAAAACATCTGCCCAGCTCTTAGTGGCACGTGGGTGCCCTGGGGCATACAAAGGGCAGCCACAATGTCACATTAACATGAATCAAACACATCCTTTACACTGTGCCAGCTGTTGTCACGGATGCTTTCTTTTAGTATCATTTTCTTTCCAAAAAAAAATCCTGTGTAATTATCACACCCATTTTACAGATGGAAAAACTAAGATCAGTATGAATGCACCCAGCTCTCAAGTGGGAAGACAGGATTCGAACCCAGGACCTAACCCTTTAATGCTCAGCAAAGACTGTCTTGCCTCAGCCTCTAATGCAGCGGCTCTCACCCTGGGAGTCAAACAACCGTTTCCCAGAGGCCGAGTATCGGATATTTACGTTACGATTCGTAACAGTAGCAGTGTTACAGCAATGAAAAAGCAACAAAACAGTTTTACCATTGGGGGTCACTGCAGCATGAGGAACTGCATTAAAGGGTGGCAGCATCAGGAAGGTTGAGAACCACTGCTCTAACATCACAGCCCCAGCTAGGCGTTGGTGGCGCACGCCTTTAATCCCAGCACTCGGGAGGCAGAGGCAGGCGGATCTCTGTGAGTTCGAGGCCAGCCTGGTCTACAGAGCGAGTTCCAGGACAGCCTCCAAAACAATACAGAGAAACCCTGTCTCGAAAAAACAAACAAAACACAAGTCATATAACATAACAGCCCCCAGGACGCACAAAGCCTTGGTCTGGGCTGAGAGGCTGCAGCCCCGCCTGGCTGTGGCTGTCAGGGACAGCCGCCCCACACACAGCCTTGCCGCCGTCTCTCCGACACTCCCCAGAGAGGTGGCTTCGGACAGCCACAACTTAATCTCGGGATCACAACATACTCCCTGAATTTCAAAACAGTGTAAAAATAACACGCTCTGCCAGGCTGACCGGGGCTTTCCTCTGGCTACTGTTTAAGCTCTCCGGGCCTTAGCTCCCTCGTCTTTTTTTCCTCCTCCACCCCACACAGTAGTAGGGGTCAAACCCTGCGCCTCACACACTCGGCAAGGCTCCAGCGCTGGCCTACATCCCTAGACATACGCCCTTTCTTCCTTCTCTTTTTCTCGGAAATAAGATCTTGTGGAGTAGGCCAGGCCGGCCTTGATCTTGTCACCCTGCCGTCTTCCTGTCTCAGCCTCCCGAGTGTTGAGATCACAGGCACTTACTGCCACATCAGGATCCCCTTGTCTTTAAGCTGGGGACACTCTTATCTCCTCCTGGGTTTATTTCCAGGGGAAAGCAGAAAGGAGGGAGGGAGTTGGGTTACCCAAAGAAAGCATGCAGTTATCCCGGGCTCAAAGCAGGTGCTTGTTATACCAGCACTCCAAAACTAAAGCAGGGGAGTTGTCACAAGTTGAAGGCCAGCCTGGGCCACAGAGTGAGAACCTGTCTTGAAGACACAGGAGCTTTTCCTTAATGTTGGCATCGTGTTTGGTTTTGTTTGTTTGCTTTATTTGTTTGAGACAGGGTCTCACTCTGTAGACCAGGCTGGCCTTGAACTCACAGAGATCCGCCTGCCTCTGCCTCTTGAATGCTGGGATTAAAGGCGTGCGCCACCATACCTGGCCCTAAGAATTTATTTATTTTCATTTTTATTTTGTAATTTCTTTTCACTTTTTGAAAATTGTGGCCCGGCAGTGATGGCGCATGCCTTTAATCCCAGCACTTGGGAGGCAGAGGCAGGTGGATCTCTGAGTTCCAGGACAGCCAGGGCTGTTACACAGAGAAACCCTGTCTCAAACAACAACAGAAAAGTTATGTGTGTGTTTGAATGTGTGTGTGTGTTATACATATGCATGACCTCCTTGAATTTCAAGTTGACAGTCAACATTAGACAAAAGCAAGATATAGTTGACAGTAAAATAAGAAATCACGAGAAACGTTTAAAGGAAGTTCTGTGGTTTTGCTGCTTACATTACACGGTAATAAAAATGTTGACGGCTCAGCTGTTAAGAGAGCTGGCTGCTCTTCCAGAGGACCCGTTTTCAGCTCCGGCACCCACGTCCAGTGGCTCTGACTTCCAGGGAATTAAACACCCTCTCTGGCTTCCCAGGGTGTGTGTGTGTGTGTGTGTGTGTGTGTGTGTGTGTGTGTGTGTGTGTGTGTGTGTGTGTGTGTGTATGTGTGATAGGTGGGCTGGAAAGATGGCTCAGCAGCTAGGAGTTCAATTCCCAGAATCCACATGGTGACTCACACTGTAATTCCAGTTCCAGGAGATCTGACGCCCTCTTCTGGCCTCTGTGGGCACTGCATTCGTGTCATATTCAGACATTCCAGCAAACCCTCATACACATGAAATAAAAATAAAATCTAGCCTGTTATAGGCCACGCCTTCAATCCCAGCATTTAGGAGGCAGAGGCAGGCGGATCTCTGTGAGTTCCAGGCCAGCTTGACCTTCATAGTGAGTTCCAGGACAGCCAGGGCTGTTAGACAGAGAAATCCTGTCTCAAAAAATAAAACAAATTAAATGCAAATAAATCTTTTTAAAACTTGATTCTTAATCAAGTTACATTGAAAGTATTGGGGCTGGAGAGATGGCTCAGAGGTTAAGAGCATTGGTTGCTCTTAAGAGGTCCTGAGTTCAAGTCCCAGCAACCACATGGTGGCTCACAACCATCTGTAATGAGATCTGGCGCCCTCTTCTGGCCTGCAGGGATACATGCAGACAGAAAGTATCAGTGCAGGGAACCCAAGCGTGTGGCTCTCCTCTTCCCCCCCCCCCCCGCAGGGCACGGAGGTATTCCCCCTGATCGGCTCTGTACTGCATGACCCCGAGGTTTTCCAGAACCCAGCAGAGTTCCAACCAGGCCGCTTCCTGGACACTGATGGTCGCTTGAGGAAACATGAAGCCTTCCTGCCCTTCTCCTTAGGTATCTGTGGACCTGAGGGATAACCAGCGGGTGCTGACTGGTTATGACCAGTGGGTGTCAGGTGGGGAGGTGCTTTCCTGCGCTCTGTTGGCTCCCCCTGCCCCGTGGGCCCAGATGTGAGCACAGCTGACCCAACGCCCTCTTCCTGCCAGGTAAGCGAGTCTGCCTGGGAGAAGGTCTGGCCCGGGCGGAGCTCTGGCTTTTCTTCACGGCTATCCTGCAAGCCTTCTCCCTGGAGACGCCGTGCCCACCAGCTGACTTGAGCCTGCAGCCAGCCGTCAGTGGACTTTTCAACATCCCCCCAGACTTCCAGCTGCAGGTCTGGCCCAGCGGCGACCAGTCCAGATGAAGGGTAGCTTCAAGGGGGGGTGGGGTGTGAACCGGGTGTCTCAGAAGCCACACCACGCCACGCATCGTAGTCCAGGAAGCTGCTGCGACCCAGCATCAGCTAACTCCCCTACGAAACGACAAGACAACCGATGCATATGCTTTTTTTTTTTTTTTTTTTTTTGGAGAGGGCTGTCTGAATCAGGGGTCTGGCTGTGTACCACAGGCAGGTCTCAACCTTGTGGTCCTCCTGCCTCGGATTCCCTAGTGCTGGAATTACAGAGATGCAGCACCGAGGGGCTGCATAGGCTTCCAGACTACGTAAATGTAGCACACGCCGTCTGGACTCACAAGCACATTATCAGATACCCCGTGCACTGCACAACCCCTGTGCTCACAATCCTAGTCCCGCTAGCCACACAAACAGCCCAACCGTGTTCAGGACCCTGTGATTATCGCTGCTGTTGCTGGGTCCCCGCCACAGAAAACAGCATGCCCCAGCTGGGGTCATGTCACAGCCAGAACCATGTCCCTGTTTACTCCGTGGATGACCTCACCACCATCCAGGCACATGAGTGCCTCCATGTATGGCCGCCAGCCAGTCATCCACACAGCCGGGCCATATGTGACAACGTCTTGGCTCTTCCGAATTTCTTCCTGCTGAGACACGCCGTGACGGCAAAACTGTTCCCGGCTACCTCCATGCCCTTGTTCATCAAACACACTCCTTCCAACAAAATTTTCCCAAATATAACTGTTTCCTGGACTGTAATTGTGCACACAGACCTTGTACAAATGGGGGCCAGCAACCCCCAGGAGAAATGTCCCCACTCATGTTTAATCAGGGCTCTGCTCCCAAACACACCCTGACTTTACTTGGCATCGACGTCCCCGTCGGGGTGTTCAAAATGTAGCTCAGACGGAGAGAGCACTTGCCTGGCATTTGTAAAGCCTAGGGTTCAATCCCCAGCACTGCTCAAAAAAACAATTTTTTTAAAATCTCCATTCAACCACTGGCTAGCCCTTACCCTGGAAGGATTACAGGAGCAAACAGGGACCCGGTTCTACCCCTCAGTAACAGGACAGGGGCCATACCTGACCTCTTTGTAACTTGAAAGGCCCCATTTTGCAATCAAAGTTTGTTTCTGGCTCAGGACTGGACCCCTCTCTGCTTGTGTGAGTAAGGGGTGGGGATGGGGGAGTCCACCCCTCCCCTGAGGCTGGGAGGGAGCTGAAAAACACGGTCACCGCCCACCCTACTGCTGACGTCTACCAGATGTGAAGCTGAGGGGGAGGGGGAGGGACAGGGCTGAGGCTGTCTGCTGTCCTGGAAAGTCTTCCGCCAATAACAGCTCTAGCCTTTGGAAGTTCTCCAAATCTGAACGCAGAAATGGACACACGGGCTCTAAGGACACAGACTGGACCAGCGCCTGCTCTTGTCTCTTTAACCCCTGTATTCCCTATTCTGGAAGTGTAGCCCAGTGGTGGGTACCAGCTTAACATGTGCAGGGCTGTGAGTTCCGTCTTCATCACAGACAGGATTAAAAATAAAATAACCACTGACTTTCTGCTGTGTCTACTCCTCTTATCCCTCTTTCTTAGGGTTATTTTAAGGCAAATATTAGAAAATAATTGAACGTGCCTGTCTTTTGATTTCTTTTTTTTTTTTAGACAGTCTATTCAGGTGGTGGGTGTGATGGCGCACACCTTTAATCCCAGCACTAGGAAGGCAGAGGCAGAGGCAGGTGGATCTCTGTGAGTTCGAGGCCAGCCTGGTCTACAGAGCGAGTTCCAGGACAGCCTGTTACACAGAGAAACCCTGTCTCAAAAAAACAAAACAAACAAACAGGATCTTATGTGTCCCCGGGCTGACCTTGAATTCTCTGTAAAGCCAAGGCTGCCTTTGACCCTCTGATCCCCCTCTCCCACTCAAGTGCTAGGATCACACTAGCCTGGCTTTTTGTTTTGTCTTTTGAGACAAGGTCTCCCTATTTAGTCCTGTCCATGTCCTAGAACTCGCTCTGTAGACCAGGCTGGCCTTGAACTCGGAGATCTGACCGCCTCTGCCTCCGGAGTGCTAAGATTAAAGGCGTGCGCCACCATGCCTGGCCTGGGTTTCATACTGTTATCAAATGTCAAGTGATTTGAAAAGGGATAAGATTGAAGGCTTTCCCCCTTTTTTATTATACTTCTTTATCTGTTTGTTTTATTCTGGATTGCATATGAATGGACACACACACACACCACAGCTCCCCCATGGGGGGGGGGCAGAAAAAACTTGTAAGAGTTCTCTCCTTCCCCCTCGTGGGTCCCGGGGGTCACTCAAAGGTCATCAGGTTTGGTACCAAGTGAAGTGCCGTAACACTTTGAACCATCTTTATGGTCGTTAAAAAACAACAACAGACCAGGACTAATAACCAAGGATCATGTCTAGGTCCGCGATGCTACTGTGTTGAAGTCTCAGACCCAGGCTACCACTGAGGGCCTCGTGGATGCCGGGGGTCAGGTCAGGCACCTGAGTCCATATTGGTGACCCAGGGACGCACTACAGCCAGGGCCATGCAGATCTGAGTGGCCTGTGCTGCCTCCCAATCCCATGGTGACATCGTGACCAGAGGTGTAGCCGAGAGTCGTGCCTGGGCCCGAGGAGCTACTGCAGCCAGGGTCTATGTCGTCCAAGGTTCCTGTTACCATTGAAGGCCACATGGACGCCCAAGATCTGGGACCATGTTAGTGTCCAGGGGCCATGCTGCCGCCTGGGGCAGCGGTGACGTCCAGACCCAACTGCTGCCAAGGACTACGTCTGCTCCCACAGCAGTCTGGGTCTGTGTCACCACCAAAGGTTATAAGGAAGCCTGAGGTCGGGGCCACAACCCGTGGCCTTTTTGGTGTCCAAGGACCGTGCCACCACCAGAGCCATCCTGATCTGAGGGACCAGTGCTCCCACCCAGAGCCAGGATGTCATCTGCGCCCAAACTCTGCCGAGGGCCGTGTCTGGGTCCATGGTCCTGCTGCAGTTGGGGTCTTTGTTGATGTCTGTGGTTGCCTCGGGGGATCATGGGAACCATGTGTGATGGGATCAGGGCCGTGCTGGGCCAGCCCTGCCCTTTGCTGTCCCTGGGAAAGCTGACCCTGCCTCTTGCTGGATACTGCCGCAAGGCAGATCCCTGCCCACCCTACTCCCATCTAGGACTTGCTGGAGCGAGTGAAGGGACTGCTTCTGTGGAAAGATACCAGAAGGACCTCCATGACTCGGGACTACCCCAGAGGAGTTCCAGTGATGGTGGAGTACCGGAAACCAGAGGCCTTGAACCAGACCAGTGATGCATTGCAATGAACATTTGCAAGTAAAGCTGATTGGACAAAAGGGTGTACTGTGACACACCACAGCCCCCAGTGCCACCAGGACACATGAAGACGTGTAGGAGAGACAGGAAAGATGAAGGAGCCAAGAGGTTTCTTTCCCTTTTCTTTCTTTTTGTTTTGTTCATTCGTTTGTTTCATGAGACAGGGTTTCTCTGTATTGTTTTGGAGGCTGTCCTGGAACTCGCTCTGTAGACCAGGCTGGTCTTGAACTCACAGAGATCCGCCTGCCTTTGCCTCCCGAGTTCTGGGAAAAGGTATGCACCACCAAAGGCAGGTTTCTTTCTTTTTATTTTTATTTTTATTTTTGTTCCTTTTGTTTTGTTTTTGTTTGTTGGTTTGGTTTTTCTTTTTTGATTTTCATTTGGGGGGTAGGAGAGGAAAGGCAGGGTTGGAAGGTACATGATGTAAAATTCCCAAAGATTCAATGAAGAAATCATGTTAGATTAAAAACAACAACAACCAGAAGGCCCTGCAGTGGTGGTGCACGCCTTTAATCCCGGCACTCAGGAAGCAGAGGCAGGAGATCTCTGAGTTTGAGGCCAGCCTGGTCTATAGGGTGAGTTCCAGGACAGCCAGGGCTACACAAAGAAAATCTTTCTCAAAAAAACAAAAAGGAAAAGAAAAAAGCAATGACACATCTTTGCTTTGCATTCAAACTTCATATTCAAGGAAATTGAATCCTCAGAGAAATGTATTTGAAGAGTTGTGGAGCTAAATGTGGTGGTGTGAGCCTCTAACCCCAGCACGCAAGAGGCTCAGGCAGGGGGATTACCAAGGGTTTGAGGCCAGCATGGAGTACACAGTGAGTTTGAGTTAGCCTAAGCGAAATCTCAAGACCGTCTCAAAGTAAAGTAGGTAAATACCCATTACTTTGCATTATGTCAACATAAAAGTTGACATTACAAGTATTCCAGCAGCAACAAAAAAAAAGAAAGAAAAAGAAAAAGACAAACTCTTTCATGGCTTCACCCACAGACAAGACACCAAGATTAGAGAAAGTGGTCACTGAGCATCGAGTTGGAGGCATTGGTACAGTGTTTGCCTAGGTAGCGCCTTAGAAGCATTGATACAGCTCCCCTGGTAAAGTGCTTGCCTTGCGATCATGAGGTCCTGAGGTCAAAGTGTAGCAACACACACACACACACACACACACACCACACAATATCTCACCATGTGGGTTTCAGGGATCAAAACCCATCAGCCGTATTAGTATTTAATATTAGTATTTAATGGCATTAAATATATTCATATTTATTGTTACTACCATCATCAGTGAGTGTGTGTGTGTGTGTGTGTGTGTGTGTGTGTGTGTGTGTTCACAAATATGCAGTACTGTCAGAGGCCAGCAGAGGGCGTAAGGTACCTTGAAGCTGAAGTTACTGAGGGTTTGTGAAGGACTGACTTGGATTCTCGGAATTTTGAACTCTGACCCTCTGGGAGAGCAGCAAGTGCACAATCACCAAGCCACCTCTCCAGCCCCTAATTCCGTTTGTTCTGAGACAGGGTCTCACTCTACAGCCCAGGCTAAGCTCTGCCTTCGGCTGTAGTGAGTGTCCTACCTCAGCCTCCTGAGTGCTGGAATTACAATCGTGAGTCACCACACCCAGCTAAAGGTCACTTTTGAAAGGTCAAAAGCTATTTGATTCACTCTGACACTCATCATGACAAACAGGTCCGTGTTTACATCTCCCCGGTGGCCTCATAAATGGATTCTGTTCTCACTTACTTATTTTGTGCTGGAAAAAGGCATAGGTATGCGCGTGCCATGCGCTAATGTGGAGGCCAGGGGACAGCTTGCAGCTGTCTCCTTTCCCCCTGTGGGTTCCCAGTGTCAAACTCGGGCTGGCGAGCTTGGAAGCAAACTCACGTCACTGGGCCTTGTGTGTATTTTACACTATGCTTATTCTTGTGTTTGTTCATGTGATGTCCCTGTGTGTGAGCACGGGTTTAAAGTTCTTGTGTGCATGTGTTTACCTACACGTATGTGTGTGTGCCATACGTGTGCCTGGTGCCTGTGGAGTCTGAAAGTGGGCATTGGATCCCCTGAGACTGGAGATGAAGGCAGTAGGTGCTGGGAACCCAGCCCCCGTTCTCTGTAAGAGCAGCAAGTGCTCTTAACCGCCAAGAGACTGGTCTACCCCGGTGGTTCTCAACTTGTGGGTCACCTATCAGATAGCATGCATGTCCGGTATTTACCATTCATCAGATAGCATGCATGTCCGGTATTTACCGTTCATCAGATAGCATGCATGTCCGATATTTACCGTTCATCAGATAGCATGCATGTCCGGTATTTACCATTCATCAGGTAGCATGCATGTCCGATATTTACCGTTCATCAGGTAGCATGCATGTCCGATATTTACCGTTCATCAGGTAGCATGCATGTCCGATATTTACCGTTCATCAGGTAGCATGCATATCCGATATTTACCGTTCATCAGATAGCATGCATTTCCGATATTTACCGTTCATCAGGTAGCATGCATATCCGGTATTTACCATTCATCAGATAGCATGCATTTCCGATATTTACCGTTCATCAGATAGCATGCATGTCCGATATTTACCGTTCATCAGATAGCATGCATGTCCGGTATTTACCGTTCATCAGGTAGCATGCATATCCGGTATTTACCATTCATCAGATAGCATGCATTTCCGGTATTTACCGTTCATCAGCTAGCATGCATGTCCGATATTTACCGTTCATCAGATAGCATGCATGTCCGATATTTACCGTTCATCAGGTAGCAAAACTACAGCTCTGAAGTAGCAACGAGAATAATGTTATGGTTGGGGTCACCACAATACAAGGAACTGTATTAAAGGGCCGCAGCGTTAGGCAGGTTGAAAACCATTGCTCTAGGGCCACGTAGTTCAGACTGACCTCAAACTTACGGTGTAACGGGGACTGGCTTTGAACTCTTGATCTTCCTGCTCCCACGTTCCAAGTGCTGAGGTTATAGGCGTGTGTCACCATGCCTTGCTTAGACTTGTTGAAATGAAAACTCAAGGGCTTAGCAGTTAAGTGCACTGGCTGTTCTTCCAGAAGACCCATGTCCAGTTCCCAGAACCCACTTCACAACCCCCTGTAATTCTAGACACCCTGTCCTGTTTCTGGGGGCGCTGCACACACATGGAACACACAAAACACCCATTCACGTAAGAATAGAAGCAAATTTTTTTGTTTACTTTGGTT